CCCCTCACTGTGTCACTAGTCACCCCCGTCACTGTCACTAGTCACCCCCCTACAGTCACTAGTCACCCCCCCACTGAGTCACTAGTAACCCCCTCCCTCACTCTGTCACTAGTCACCCCTTCCCTCACTCACTCTGTCACTCCTTCCCTCCCTTACTCTGTCACTAGTCACCCCCTCCCTCACTCTGTCACTAGTCACCCCCTCCCTCACTCTGTCACTAGTCACCCCTTCCTTCCCTCACTCTGCCACTAGTCACCCCTTCCCTCACTCTAGTGACAGAGTGAGGGAGGGGGTTACTAGTGACAGAGGGAGGGGTGACTAGGGACAGAGTGAGGGAGGTGGTGACTAGTGACAGTCCCCACCTCCCTCACTCTGTCACTAGTCACCACCTCCCTCACTCTGTCACCAGTCATCCCCTCACTCTGTCACTAGTCACGCCTTCCTTCCCTCACTCTGCCACTAGTCACCCCATCACTCTAGTGACAGAGTGAGGGAGGGGTGACTAGGGACAGAGTGAGGGAGGTGGTGACTAGTGACAGTCACCACCTCCCTCACTCTGTCACTAGTCACCACCTCCCTCCGTCACTGTGTCACCCCCTCCCTCACTCTGTCACCAGTCATCCCCTTACTCTGTCACTAGTCACCCCTCCCTCACTCTGCCACTAGTCACCCCTTCCCTCACTCCCTCACTCTGTCACCTGTCACCCCCTCACTCTGTCACTAGTCACCCCTCACTCTAGTGACAGAGAGAGGGAGGGTGTGACTAGTGACAGTGAGTAAGGGTGTGACTAGTGACAGTAAGGGTGTGACTAGTGACAGAGAGAGGGAGGGTGTGACTAGTGACAGAGTGAGGGAGGGAAGGGTGACTAGTGAGAGTGAGGGAGGTGGTGATTAGTGACAGAGGGAGGAATGGGGTGACTATCACTGTGTCACCCCCTTCCTCACTCTGTCACTAGTCACCCACTCCCTCCCTCACTCGGTCACTAGTCACCCCCTCTCTCACTCTGTCACCAGTCATTCCTTCACTCTGTCACCAGTCATCCCTTCCTTCCCTCACTCTGCCACTAGTCATCCCTTCCCTCACTCTGTCACCAGTCATCCCCTCACTCTATCACCAGTCACCCCTTCCTTCACAGTGACAGAGTTAGGGAGGGAGTGACTAGTGACAGAGAGAGGGATGGGGTGACTAGTGACAGAGTGTGGAAGAGGGTGACTAGGGACAGAGGGGGTGATTAGTGACAGAGTGAGGGAGGGGGTGACTAGTGACAGAGTGAGGGAGCGGGTGACACAGTGACAGAGTTAGGGAGGGAGTGACTAGTGACAGTCACCCCCTCCCTCCCTCTGTCACTAGTCACTCCCTCCGTCACTAGTCACTCCCTCACTCCGTCACCAGTCATCCCCTCACTCCGTCACCAGTCACCCCTTCCCTCCCTCACTCTGCCACTAGTCATCTTTTCCCTCCCTCACTCTGCCACTAGTCATCTTTTCCCTCCCTCACTCTGCCACTAGTCACCCATTCCCTAACTCTGTCACTAGTCACCCCCTCTCCCTCCCTATGTCACTAGTCACCCCCACTCACTGTGTCTCCCCCTCACTCTGCCACCACTCAACCCCTCCCTCCCTCACTCTGCCACCAGGTACCCCCTCACTCTGCCACCTGTCACAACCTCCCACACTCTTCCACCTGTCACCTTCTCCCTCACACACTGTCACCTGTCACATATGCATTCACACAGACACTATATACAAAAAAGCACATGTAGTCATCCCGACATGCACAAGTGCATTCACACAGACTCAAATACAAACATGCATTGATACACAGGTCTTCACAATATACACATCCAAAGGAATGCTGTATTATGAGTTATATTTAACATTTATTTAATGCACATATATTTGGCCTTCAAAGGGCCTGGGATCTAATTTTGCCCGGGGGCCCCAAAGGCTCTCAGTCCGCCCCTGATCAGCCCCTATGTTAATCCGGCCCTGTCCATAGGTGTGTGTGGATATGCTGTTGATGTCAAAAGGTTAACATTGCTTTTGTGTTAATGTAGGCACCCAGACCAGTTCAGCTAGGAACCCAGACCTATTAATTCTGCAATTTAAATCTGGACTAAGACTGCCTCTAGTGGATGTCAATCAGACAGCCACTAGAGGCACCTCCTGGCCCCTAACCGACTTTTGGTTGCATAACTGTTGCTGGATGAGGACATCCATCGTCAGTAAAATCCTTATTGGAAAGCATTAAAGGACCACTATAGTGCCAGGAAAACATACTCTCAGGGACCCCCTCCCGCCCGGCTCTGGAAAGGGGAAGGGGGTTTAAACTTACCTCTTTACAGCGCCGGGCGGAGAGCTCTCCTCCTTCTCTCCTCCTCCGTTCCGCCCCATCGGCTGAATGCACACGCGCAGCAAGAGCTGCGCGCACATTCAGCCGGTCGCATAGGAAAGCATTTACAATGGCGTGCTCTCACTGTGAAAATCACAGTGAAAGCACGCAAGTGAGACAGCCACTAGAGGCTTTGGGGGAAGGTTTCTCTGAAACTGCTATGTTTATTAAAAAATGGGTTAACCTTAGCTGGACCTGGCACCCAGACCACTTCATTAAGCTGAAGTGGTCTGGGTGCCTAGAGTGGTCCTTTAAGGCAATGCTTTCTTTTAGGGAGGGCCTAATGACCTTACTGCGCATGCACATTGCTTTCCCGCTGGATGACGGAGGAGGAGCGACAACGAGGGACATCAGTGCTTGAATAGGGGCAGTAAATAATGGCTTTCTTTAACCCTTTCCATTCGAGGGGAGAGGGGTGCAAGGGAGTGGGAGTCCGAGGGAACTATAGTGTAAGGAATACAACTTTGTATTCCTAACTCTAGGGAATCCCTTTAATAGCGGGTTCAAACATTCCTAACAAAAATAAGTATATTCAATTGTAAAAATCAACAAGTCAACAGTTAGACAGTGTGCAAATATGTTGTTTTAAACAGTGTATCAACTTGAGCTACCTTGGCATTAAAAAGAAACTATGGAAAAGGTCCTTGAAACTTTGAACAATCTGAAACAAGATAATTTTGAATTCATATACTTCTAACTATAAAGAGCAATCTGATTCCATATATTCCTAAACCTAGACATAAAAAAACAATGAAGCAAGAGGCTTATATCTCAGTTTTATCAGAATATTAAAATGTGCATTATTATGTCCAAGCAGTTCTTTTTTTGTTTCCATCCTTTACTCTTTTTTTTTTCATACTATTGCATTTAAATAAATTGGCAAATTTAGATATTCTTTTATTAAGGTGTTATCACTAATCTAATATTTTCCTAGGTGAATCCTTTCAAGTAAAGTTAGGTGTTAGAGTTTGAATAAGTTTCAGCCTATAGATAGATCAGACTCGTATTCACGTCTGGAAATAGAATGTACGTCACTCACTGTGGAAAGACTATTCATCTACAATATTTCAAAGGGAAAAAAAACTGGTTGGATTTGTGATCTTTATGGCTTTTTCTGACTTGCATTAAAACTCATGTTTCACAAACCCGAGTCCATTTACAATGGACTCAAATATAGCAGAATAAAATAGAAAGAATGGCTTCTCCTGGGTATTGATGATGCATCTTCCCTTGGAAAAAGGTTATTATTTTTATGCGAAAGTGACACAAGTGGTGCTATTTCAGGTAGCTCAAACAATACAATTCTGTCTTTAATAACATCCCCATCTATAAAGAGACATTGCACAGCCAGATATTGCAGAAAAGGCCCTAGGGTGAAATTAGATTCAAATTCAAAAGTGTGCTTTGGAAATCAGACTTTGAGTTACATTTTGCAGCACATTTGGGGGTAAGACATGGCATTTTAACTATTGAGAATCGTGCTTGCAATTTCAAATGTTTATTCTGTCCCACAACAGAGGCTAAAACGTAACACCTCAGATGTGTCTGATCTGGATTTAGCACAAATCCCAGCCAGCCTAAAAGTCAACATGGCCAACAAGCAATTTCTGGATAATATTGTAATACTATATTTTCAATATTCTCAAATTGCAGTGCTAGGGGCTTTGGGGGATGAAGCCCCATATGTGAGTGGCTTTAGCCTTGGATCTCTCTACATGGTGTGGTGGGACATGTACAATAGTGCTTTATTTTATTCATCAAACAGGTGATTCTTAAATTTTTTTTAAAAAATCACTATCAATCACATATACAAGGGTGGATCGGGTGGGGCACCAGGGCTAGGGCCCCCCAACCCTGAGAAGCCAAGCAATAGCTGCAATGGCCATGGTCCCAGCCTCCCCCAATCACGAGTGAGTGTAGTGAAAACTTCTGAACTTCCTGGTCATGCTCCCCGCTCCTCCTGCATTCCCTGGTACTAGCCGAAAGGAGCTCTTTGCACCTGCCGTAGGTGACAACAACCGCATTATCCACCAGAATTCCCTCTCCCTCACCTAAACTGTATTTCTTTCTTTTTAATGAAAAATATTTTTTTTTGTTTAACTTTCCCTTTAGCCCCTTATCTCCCACTGCAGCTCCTAACTCCCTACTACAGCCCCTAATACCCCGCGACAGTCTCTAACCGCCACTAGAACTTCTAATCCCCACTACAACTCTTAATACCCCCATTACTGCCCCTAATCTACACTACTGCCCTTAACCCCCATTACTGCCTTTATACAACACTACAGCCAATATCCCTCCCTATAGCTCTAAAACTCCAATTCTGGCCCGTATCTGCACACCATGCACCCTTACCCTCCCACTTCAGCTAGTAACCCCACACCAAATCCTCTACCTCCACTATTGCCTCTAAAACCCCACCACAGCTCCTCCCCCCCACTACTGCCCCTAATTTCTCACTACAGCTCTTAACCCCCACTACAACTCATAACCGCCATTACTGTCCTTACACCCCACTACACCCCCTGTCACCCACTAAAGCTTCTAATCCTCCGCTACTGCCTTTTTCCTACACTACTGTCCCTAACCCCCACTACAGTGCATAACTACAGTGCATAACATCTACTCAGCCCCTATCCATCACTAATTCTCCTGTAACCACTACAACCCCTAACCCTCCACTAGAGCCCCAAAACCCCATTTCAGCCCCTCTCCCCCTCTGCAGCCCCTATCACCTACTATAGCCCTACAGCCACTCTCCCCCTGCTACAGCCGCTATCCTCCCATTACCACCCTTAACCACCACTACTACACCATAACCACTACATGTGCTGTTATTGTGCCTGGAGTGTTTCTTTAAATAATCTACTGTTGCCTCTCCTGAGATTAGGTTCTGAATTCTCCTTTGTTAGCATAGTACTCCTCCAGGCTACTCTACTAAGGGGTGCTGGGCAGGGGGACTGTTGACTTGTGTAGTTGGCAAGGCTTGACCTGAGAGGTGGTAATATGGGTAAGGGTCACTGAGATTTCGTTTGGTCTGAAACCTCAAGTAATTCAGTAAACCAGCGATACATCGTGCACACACCCAATAAGTTTTCTATATATTGCTTTCTCCTATAATTATCTATATATATTTACAAATAAACAAAGTGCTCATATATATATATATATATATGCTGGGCAATATTCGTATAAGTAAAACAAAACCACACAATAACCAAAGACAATGTTTAATTACTTTTCAATGGGCTTGGCCGTGGTGTTTATTCAAAGCTCAAGGGGCACACAACCATAACTTTGTAACCATAACCATATAACATATGGTTCACCAACTTTCAAAACTTTTAACTTTATTAACCACCAAATAGCCAGTCATTCATAACTAACCTGACCGCGTTTTACTTAAAACTTTCAACTTTATTAACCACCATATTGCCAGTCAGTCATAGCTAACCTGACCGCCTTTTATTTAAAAGCATTTACCACCATATCCTTCCTCAGAACATGAGCCCGAGGATGACTTTTGCCCCAATGCTTCATAACACCACGACAACACAAGTAAATAAAAGTAAAGGGAGGGGGGTGGGGTCCGTCCGCACCGTTCCTG